AACTTAGATCTGATTGATTGTGTTTTCTCTCTCTGTCTTCAGTCTGTGTGGATGCAGTATTACAGAGAAACAGAGTCTCGTCCTGACTTCAGCTCTGAACTCAAACCCATCACACCTGAGAGAGCTGGATCTGAGCTGGAATCACATAACAAACACAGGAGTGAATCACTTGTGTGACGTACTGAAGGATTCAGGCTGTAAACTGGAGAGATTGAGGTCAGCAACATTCACACACAAGAATCACAATCAGTAAAATCACTACAAAACACTTTATACTCAATATCTCACCATGAGGTCACATTATATTTGTGTCAGTTTCTTCACATTAATGATTGTTTGTGAGATGATCTCTCTTCCTCTGTTTCTCTCTTTCCAGTCTAAATCGCTGTGGTATTACAGACGTTTCTTCTTTAACTCGGTCTTTGAGAAACACAAAAGCGCTGCGGTTTCTAAAAGAGCTTGATCTGAGTGATAATATGATTGGAGACTCGAAGCAGCAGCTCGTCGATGTGCTACGAGACTCAAACTGTGAACTGAGGTGAGCAAACATCACTGTGATATTAAAGAGATCTTCAGTTACTGCTGATAAATATATACGGTCAAATATTAGTGAAAGAGATCATCAGACTATCATCCAGCTTTACTGCACCTGAGGGTTCATTGTGTCTGAATGAAATGTAAAGTTGAGTAAATGTTGAACACACAGGAGGAAAGAGAACAGAAGCAGACTGTCACAGCTTTATACAGCAACAGCTGCTTTATTAATTACTTCAGTAATAGTGAATCATGTCAGTGTGAAAACAGGTTTGGTCAGACTGTAGGAAAACACTGGTAAAATCAGTGCAGACTCCAGCATCACATGATCAATGTCTCCGTCTCTTCTGTGTTTTTACTTTCATCAGCAACACGTCTCATTACTTTACACTTACTTTACTTTCAGTTCTTTACTAAGACCAATACAAACATGTTTAAACTAGAGGACAAACAGCTTTAACTACTGGAACATTTAACTAAAGGTTTTGATCTTAGGCAAAATCACATTTGTGTTTGTTCCTTGTCGTTTATTATATTTGATGTACAATCATTAGCATTTTTCTCTTTATAGTGACTCAATAGGAGCCACACAAACAGACAAACATATGAACAGAATTCATGTTCTATATGTGTTTAAAACACAGATATTGTTTCAGAAATATACTGTATATGCAAGATCATGTAAATGTAACTGTAATTGAAATAGTAATTAATTAGTAATTTGTTCCACTGAACACTGATTGTTTTCTCTTCTGTTCCACCTTACAGAGTAGATGAAGATCCATGGCCAAGAGTCCCTGATAGAGTTCAGCCATCAAGAGTCCCTGATAGAGTTCAGCCGTCACAGGATGATGGATGCTGTATATCATAGTTAGAGATGATGATGAGAGGAGCAGTGAACATCAGCTGAGAGCTTCACCTCTGTGTCTGTGTCTGTGAGCAGAACTACATACAGCTGGAAGAGACTCAGACTTTACAATCAAAATATGTCATACTGAATGATTCGTGTTGTTTTATTTAAAGGTGAAACAGAAGAAGAAGCTCAGATGAGTCTGTCTGGCTCTTCAGTTTAAGATCTACAAACATAATAATATTTGTATTAAACTCATCCATAATGATTAATGTGTTTCTAATCAAACGTGATTGACAAGTGCATGTATCAAAAGATGTCAAGCAAATCTACAATGTGAAATATCCATGTCACTTAAAACATTTACATGATCGCTCTCCCATTTTATACTCAGTTACTCTGTTATTTTATACTGAGTTAGTTATGTGTGTGTTTGTTGTTAATGTACAGATATCCAGTATATTGTCAGAGGAAGAGAGATTCTTTCTTAAATAAATGCATGAAACATAAAACCGTATGAGCGATTGTAACAGAGATGAGGATCCAAATGCAAGGCTTTATTAAATCTCCTTTGTTTTCCTCTTTTTCTCGTTGAATTTAACTCGTTTCATCCCTCAGGCTTACGAGTAACAAAAACAACGACAACAAAATCAGTTTGTGATGCATTATGATTATGTGAATATTATGATTATTCAAAGATATTTCACTTTTTTTCTGTGTATATAATCTCATACTATGATATTTTTTGTCATTATGATTGTTCATTGTTACAGATACAACCATCTTTCCCTGATCTTGTATGCAATTATAAGTTGTGCAATAAAAAAAGAAAACAGATATTTTTCTTATATTACATACTGTAACAAGAGGCATAATAAGTACCCTTTAAACACAAGATCTTCTATTTCAGAAAACAGAACATTGAAAAATTTAAAAATGTTTCTGGATGGACTCATCCTACTTTACCACTACTGCAT